ACATATATTATGCTCATTTTTCAAATTTATCCCCAGTAAAATCTTTGACCCCAGACTCTGATTGCCTTTCGCTGTTGCTGTGATTTTGCTATGGGATTAAATGAAGGAGGTGCTTAAAAGATGGAATCAATCTGCCATTGACTGTTACTATTTCACTCTCGTCCTTTCTTGTTCAACCTTAGCATACGTAGAATCTAGTTCTTCTCATTCCTCGTAAGATCAATACTGATTTTTATCTTTTAAACACCTGGCCAGCCAGCCCCCAGAGCCTACAACACCAAGCACTCAGGTTATAAAGGAAGAGGAAGGCCATGCAAAAGGTGGATCGAGGGTGTCAAGGAAACCCTGAGAAAACATAACATCACAACTGAAAGAGCTGCGGAGCTGGCCTACCATAGAAAACTGCATCTCTCCTCGACGCTTAACGCAACAGAGAAAGATCTAAGTAAAAAGTGAAAGTAAGTAAGTAAAGAATGTAGTATGTGTGTTTTTATGCCCTTATCGACACACAATTTTGATCATTTAGAAGTCGGATTTCGATCTTGCCCCTCAGGATTAACCTGGGCTGAGAGGGAAACAACATCTCAGCAGAAATATAGAGGTACTTGTTAGAAATTTCCCCCTCTTGAGAATCGAACTCTCTTTACCGCCTGCGTGCGACGTTGAATGGTCTAACCGCTATACCATAAACGCCTGTGCAATAGTTCTGAGTGATAAAACAAACAAAAAAACAAGCAAACCATCCCACCAATAAACTAACAAACAAACTTACAATAACTAGATTGGTAAAACCGAAAAAAGCTTGTGACCTCTGAACTTTATAGATTAATCTCCTTAAGATATCGAGAGCGCGATAGACCCTTATCAGATTTTCAGTTCAGTTCAGCGGGTCCTGCGTAACACAAGAGAAAATCCGCGAGAAAAATGTACAAAATCTCCTTACCTCTCTGAGGGCTGAGCGGATACAGGCTTCCTTCCAGTTACAAGATTCTTTCTGCTGTCTAGTTTTGAGAAATTTGACGTAAATATCTTCACAGTATGTCAAGCTTTTTCGAATGCAATATTTTGAATATTTTGATAACGACTCCGAAGAATTTTACGATTTTGATAGAGCAGATGGAACATTTGGTTTCTGACCTCAAAACGGCTTAAAATGTCAGGTAGAATTTCGTAACTCTAAGGTAGCGAAATTAGTAGACCAAAGACCATGTGGCACATTTCCAACTACGATATTCTTTGATTGGTGGCACTCTGCTGTGGTTTGCACCTTTTCCCTATCAAACATCTATCGTCCTGATCTCTCCACCTTTTCCCTATCAAACATCTATCGTCCTGATCTCTCCTCCTTTTCCCTATCAAACATCTATCGTC